TTCCATAGAATGGGTCGTAGTACTGATCCTTGTGACACTTTTGCTTTTATTGGATACGGTTTTGATTGATGGCCTTTTACAACGACAGAGAGGGTTCTGTCATGGAGATAATCACAAAGTAGTGTGCAGGCCAACTGAGATGCCTAAAGAGGTGAGGTTGAAGAGAAGGCCATCATGCCAGACCATGTTGAAAGCTCTGGCAATGTCAAGGCAATGACAATGGTGTTTCTCTGTCCAGTGCGTCACTCCATGACTGAAAGAGTGACATCAACACATCTGATGTTGATTTCTTCTTTCGGAATCCATATTGCCGATCTGAAATCAGGTGATTCTGATCAAAGAAATTTTCAATGTGGTCGGCAATAATTCTGGCAAATACTTTGCGTCTGTAATTCTTTGGATCCGACTTACTACACTTTTTTGTGCACAGGAACTACATGTGCATGTTACCAGATTCTGGGCTACATTTTCTTTCAAACAGTTGGAAGCCATTGCAAGTGGAGTTGCAATTTCAACTGCACTTTTTTTTCAGGAAGAATGGGCTGATATTTTCCTCTCTCTCTCTCTCTCTCTCTCTCTCTCTCTCTCTCTCTCTCTCTCTCTCTCTCTCTCTCTCTCTCTCCTCTCTCTCTCTCTCTCTCTCTCTCTCTATCTCTCTCTCTCTCTCTCTCTCTCTCTCTCTATCTCTCTCTCTCTCTCTCTTCTCTCTCTCTCTCTCTCTCTCTTCTCTCTCTCTCTCTCTCTCTCTCCTCTCTCTCTCTCTCTCTCTCTCTTCTCTATCCTCTCTATCTTATCTCTATCTCTATCTCTCTCTCTCTCTCTCTCTCTCTCTCTCTCTCTCTCTCTCTCTCTCTCTCTCTCTCTCTCTCTCTCTCTCTCTCTCTCTCTCTCTCTCTCTCTCTCTCTATTCTAACAGAACAAATTGAAGTAAATAATCTAAAAATAATATAACAGATGAGTTTATCCACTGAGCTTGACCTGCCCACAGACTGCTCGTGTTCAAGTCAAAAACAAGTCGGCAGAGTCTTCAGATGACGGTGGACTCAGCCAAGCTGCCCGCCGCATCCTGGACAGCTTAGAGCAGATGTCGACACCCATATCAGATGCCAAGCGGATACCCACCCCTACTCCAGGGCAGAGGGGTAGTTTCCTGGATGCAGCACCCTCATATACAGCCTCTTTTTATAAGCACAGGCCGAATTTAAGATCTGCACCTCCAACCTCAAAGCTTCTTACTCCAACAAAAGTAAGTAAATGTGAATATGCAATGATTTGGTATCCCAACTTTGAGAACAAGTGAATGTGGTTTGAACACAATTTGAGATATATTGCCAATACTAAGTATGTTAAATGTTGTGGGGTGAATACTTGTTTCACCAGTAACATTTATCTACTCTTTTTCAGCTCCCTGTTCAGGAAAACTTATCAAAAAGTTTTTTAAAACCTTCTGCAAGCCCCTCTATCAGCACTTCTACTGCATTCACCTCCTCCTCCTCGTCAACCCTTAAGAGAACTGTGGAGGAACCCAGGCATATGGAGATGATAATACAGGAGGAAGAGAAGGAGAAGAAAAACAGCAGCAGTAGCAGCAGCATTGCAACAGTTAAGACAAAGGAGGTGTCTGAATCAACCACACTCACCTCTTTCCCGGCCCCAACCCCAGCTGCCAGTTCCACCTTCTCCAAAGCTGCTGCAGAGGCAGTCAGCAAGTTCAAGAGTGTACCCACCACCACTACCCCCCTGCCAGCCCTCTCTTCACCAGGCGTGTTCAAGTTTGGACTGGCCAGTAGCAACAGTGCCTCAAAGCAAACACAGGATCTTGTGACAAAGGCAACGCCTGTCATGAGGTTAGTTTAGATTAATATTACTGATAATATTTTTGTTGTTCTTGTTTATTTTTTATGATTAGGACTAATATTGATATTGTTATGAGTCCCTGCACTGGAGGGAAGATTTCTTTAAACTATTATTGATTCATTGATTAATTGATTGATTAGCTGTTTTGTCTTCAGCACAAGCTAGGAAGCGAAAACAAACATAGCAGCTGGGTCATGTAATGTTTCTATGTATTATACATGCCATGGATGGTTTATGCTAGGAAGTTAGTATATGTGTATTTGTATCTTATTATATATACGTATATCTATTTATATATAGATATATATATTGAAAATATGTATATATACTTTATATATATATATATAAAATATGTATATATATTATTATATATATATATACATATATATATACATATTATATACATATATATATACATATATATATATATATATATATATATATATATATATATATATACATATATACATATATACATATATACATATACACATATACATATACATATACATATACATATACATATATATATATATATATATATATATATATATATATATAATATATATATACATATATATATACATATGTATATATATACATATATACATATATACATATATATATACATATAATAATTATA